ATTTTTGCGGGGAATAGGCAGTTAGTCCCCTTTTTCAGGGTAAACAGATCCTACAGTGGCTTTTACGCAGTCCACCAGGCTGGCTGTTCCCTTGGGAATGACCCGCTTTGTGTCTGGATCACATATGACCATCTGTGATTGTTACATAACGAGCTATAAATCCTGCATCAACCCAAACATGCTCTTCCCCTATCGTAGCACTTAAAACCAGATACTGCTCCTAAATTAATTACTCTCACAGAACATCTTACTAAAGGATGTCCTTCAGAAAGCTATTGCTGAGCCACAATATGAAACAACTTCTTCCTACTACACTCCCTGGTTGCAAATAGTTCCTTCGTTTTGCCCTTATCTCACACCAAGAGGTACTTTCTGTTGTCCTTGCCTAATTTTTCCCTTGGGGTTAGTGACCAAAGCTCAGACTCACTGAAATTTGAGTTTGGTCTAGTATCAATGTCTGACTCAGCACACTCTTTTAGTTTCATTTTAGCTATTACAGAAAACAGCCAAGGGATTGAACTAACGTCCTGGTAATTGGATCCATCTCTAATCTCCATTGGTGATGGTTATCTTTAATCCCTAAGAGCTCCATACCACGGGCAACCAAACGGCCACCGAGGAACCAAAGGTTCCACAGTTCCCACTCTTTCATCCTTTCTTTTCCCAAACCACGTTTCCGTGAGCCAGGGTCATCTAGCAAATCTCACTTATGTGACACCAAATCTCCAGGAAGAATTCCGTGTTAAAAGAAAAATATATCATTTGTTAAAACCCAGAAAGGAAGACCTTATTCATGGTGGTGCCCTGCTAGGTAATCTAATGAAAGCTGTGGACCAGATTTTAGGTGAGTGACCAGGGAGATATCTAGCAACTGTCTGAATGTCTCCAAAGCCCATCTAGCTAACCAAAACATCCAGTCTATTCCAGGTTTTTCAGCCTCAAGCATTTGCTTCTGAGGATCCCTAAGTCCCTAGACAGCCCTGTGGAGGGCAAGGAGCCCAACGCTTAAGTGACAACAGAGACGGGCAGGGGGAAAGGTCCGGCCTGGTGGACAGAGGGATGGAGGAGAAAAGGCTCGGAGGGAGACATATCAAAGGACTCAGGGAACTGGAGGGAAGACTAAAGGTGGGAGGAGAAAGGAGCAGCTTCTGTAATGGGGAGGAAGAGGTCTCAGAGGAGTCAGCTTGAGGTGGGAAGGTTCCCCAAGAGGCCAATGCGTTTCCTATTATTCTCAGCAAAAGCAAGCCAACAAAAACGGAGGCAGTCAGAGTTGGTGGAACAGGGGTTCAACCAGAGAGAGAGCCATGAAGAAGAGTCTTCCAGCCCAGTTGGTATCTTTCAAACAAGGAAACCTAGGACTTGAACTCATCTTTTTTCAAACAGCTGTTTCCCCAGCCTCTAACCCAGCCTGTGTTTACCTAGGACTCCATCCTAGCTTCTGGAGCAGCGGTTGCCAGCCTTTCAGACCTCACAGACAACCAGTGGTTTTGGAAGAATCTAAGAATCCAACCTGTCCTTACCAGCTTCCACGGACGTTTGTCCGGAGCAATGGTTCAGGAGTCGGACTCACCAATGGATCCCCGATCAATCAGTCAGGAGGAAGATAAAGGCTTCAAAGGTATGCACTTTTAGGGTCCTGGGTGAGAGGTCCGGGGTCCAATGATGAATCTGATCCTATGGGTATTGTGGCACCACAACTGTCAGAAGGAAAATATTCAATGACACTTGGTAAAGCACGGCAAGAAAGAACTTGGGGAGTGGGGAGCTAGGCACAGGGACCACTGAAATAAATTTCTTTAATGTAGGTAAGAAACTGGGCTCAGTGCCGAATGCTGCCTGTATGTGTGGGAATTTAAAGCGAAGGAGCAGAGTAGGGTCAGTGGATAAAACATACTAAGAGAAAAACATCAGGGGTAAGAAGGCTTTTACAGACCTAACAGGATTTTTGCTTTAAAAAAAAAATTTTTTTTAAAAAGGTCAGAGTGATCAACTATCACCTGGGACAAGGTACAGGGAAGGAACCCAATCCAATGTCGAGGATTAGGGCTTCTTGCTAAACTGACAGGGCAAGGTTCTTGCTAAAACTGTATCTTACAAGGATGTGCACAGATGGCCAAGGAGAAGGTTCGGGAACCTGGCTGAACTTTGATCAAGCAAAAAATATGTATCACCTGTTTCTTCCTTTACTCTCACACATAGATGTGTGTGTGTTTTCTCTCCCCCACACCAATCATTTCTCCAGCGCCAGCCAGGTATCCTGCAATTCAATGCGATTGCAACACTATCTACAGTTAGTGCAGACCTCACTGGGAAAAGGCTCAGTCCCACAAGGCTGCTCCCCCAGCTCAGGCACTAATCACAGGTAGTAAGACTCATGTGACCCAGACTTTCTGTCCAACTTGGCTACAAATCGGAGGTTCCCATGACCCCGTCATTAGATGTAATCGCCTGCAAAGCTCACCGAACTCAGAGAAACACTTACGTTTACTGGTTCATTACATATAAAAAACAGATACAACGAAGCACACAACCGGCAGGTGAAGAGATACATAGGGTGAGACCTACAGCAGTAAAGGGGCTCCTGTCCCTGATGGAGGTGGGGTGCACTACCCTCCTGGCACGTAGATCTGCTCACCAACCCCCGAGATTTGGGGGTTTTTATGGCGACTTTGTCACCTAAGCATATTCAACTACTAACTCAACCTCCAACCGTTTCCCCTCCCAGGATGAAGGAGGAGGGGCTGAACGTCCCAAGCTTCTTAGGACAGATGGGTCTTTCTGGGGACCAGACCCCATCCTGAAGCTACCCAGGAGCCAATCAAGAGGTGTCTCTTTAGAACAAAAAACACTCCTACCACCCAGGAAATTCCAAAGGATTTAAGAGCCTTGTGTCAGGAGACAAGGTCAAAGACCAAATATGAAAAGAAAGCAGCTCCTAGTACTCTTACTCCTTAGGGAACTATAAGGGTCTCAGGAGCTTGTGAAAGGAACCAGGGGCAGGCATAGCTCAAAAGCCAGCATTAATGAATTGTGTCCACAATCTTCCTGATGATGGCCACAAATCTGAGCATTGGAGTTTGAAATATATTTAATATATATTTATTATATTTATAGTTAAGCATTTGTGTGTGTTTTAAAAATTCAAAATTACATAAAGAAACCCATAAGGCCGAAATCAGTTTGGCTCAGTGGGTAGAGCGTCGGCCTGCGGACTGAAAGGTCCCAGGTTTGTTTCCGGTCAAGGGCGTGTACCTTGATTGCAGGCACATCCCCAGTGGGGGGGTGTGCAGGAGGCAGATGATCGATGATTCTCTCATCGATGTTTCTAACTCTATCCCTCTCTCTTCCTCTCTGTAAAAAATCAATAAAAATTAAAAATAAATAAAAAAAGAAACCCATATGCATCTGGTGATTTTATAGCTGAAGGCAACTTACGAAGACTGTTACCTTTCTCAGTTTAAAAAAGCAAAGCCACCTTCTAATATGTTGAGTTGCTCCGCTATTGTAAGCCTTCCATCCAATCACATTTCTACAACAGAATTGCTCACCAAAACATTTTACTTCGACTGAAAAATGTCCATTTCATTCTAGAACATTTAAAAAATTTTAATGTGTCATTTGGCTTTAGGAAATTTATCTCAAACAAAAATCATACGTAGGCATAAAATGTTTCTTACATAAAACTATTTCTAATTATTGTTTATCTACCAATGGAGGATCTTAAAGAGAGGGGCATATTTATTTCAATTAAGCTAAATAAAGTTGTGTTGTTTTGAAACCTGCACCAAATTTATTCTATCCTAACCAGCTGTTCCAACAAATGTTTAGAAAAAGGTGCTGTGCTAGGTTTAAAAAGACTATGCTGAACATTGATGTAATCTTTTAAATTTTATTTGCATCAAGAGAACCAAACTAGCTTCAGGTGTTACATCCTAAAACAACAGAAAGCATTTGATTATGCTGCAGATCTATGCTTTTCCAGCATTTTTGTTTTTTTTAAACTATTAATACCTACATTTTCTCAAGGAATGTATGAGGCAGCTGTCTTTCCTGTCTATCCTAACCTATTTGCAAATGAATACATAACCTCTGCGGCAGATAAGATACCTTCAATGTGTGCTCTAATTTCCACTGAAAATCCAAACAGACCCTCGTTTTAGTTGCACCGCAAGCTATTCTATTTGTGTGACTCTTTTCTGGAGACGGCTGCACTAGAAGTCCGCCCATTAATAAATGAATTACTCGGTTAGTGGCAGAGGAATAACTGTACGCTGGTGGTTAAGAAGGCCCATCATTTCGGCATTTAATACCTACAGTTGCTCCTAACGCCACCCCAGGTGCCACCGGCAGCGGCCTGTCAAAAACGAGCACTGGGCAGCGGGGTCTCGGGAGGCATCCGGCCAATCGCCGCCCGGGCTCCTCACACATAAACAAAGGCGGCTGGCTTTTCGGATTCTCTGCCACAAGCAATGCACTGGGAAGCGATTAAAACACGACACGCTCTTGGGAAGAATACTCCTTTCCCAGATCAGACCAAGAAGGCCCCTTCTAAAGGTATTTGTTTGTTCGGGGCGGCACCCGCTCTCCTCACACACATTTAGATTTTTTAACCTTGCAAACGTTATCAAAACTGCAGCCGCACGGAATGAGCCAAAATGCTGCAAACCGGGGACAGAAAGGCTGTCCGTGTGTCCCCGTGTTTATAAAATCCACACGCCCGGCGGGGCCCGTTCCGGCTGAGGCACACACTGGATGGAGGAGGCAGCCCCCAGTGGGCGAGGCCGGGGCCCAGGCCCACCGAGTCCCTAACCCCCCGCCCAGCTCCACCCACCGGGCTTCCCGGCCTCCCGGGGCCGTCGTGAGTCTCCGGAGCCCCTTCTGCAAGGTCCGCAGCATCCTCAGGGCGTGTCTCTGCACAACGTGGGCTCCGGGCCGAGCCCTCCACCAGGCCTGTCCCCCCCCCGCCCCGTCCCCCCACCCCGATCGGCGGCCCCACTCACAGGCTGGCGGCGGCGGGCAGCGGGCTCCGCAGCGCCCCCCAGCTGGGCGCCGGCAGCTTCCGGCGGCTGCAGTCCAGCAGCGGGAGGCGGCAGGAGCAGGGCGCGGGGCAGGGGCCCGCCCGGGCGGCCGGCAGCAGGAGCAGGGCCTGGGCGAGGACCAGGAGCCGGCACAGGGGGCCGCGCCGGCGCTGCCGCGGCCGCGCCTCCCGGGCGCCTCGGGGCGCCGGCGCCATTTTCCTCCCCGACCGGGACCGGGCCGAGAGGAGCCGCCAGCTGGACGGGACGGCCTCGCGGAGACGCCTGTCAGCGGCACGACCGCGCCGAGCCCCGCGGCGGCCCGGGTCCTCCGGACGGGCGAGGGCGGAGGGGCGGGCACGGCCCGGCGGCGGGGGCGGCGACCCGGACACACGGCGGGAGCCCCGCGGACGACGCTCCCCGGCCCCGCCCCGCGACGCAACGTCCTCACGCACGGAGGAGCCGACCAATCGGTGCCCCGGGACGGGATCGCGTCGGGGGCGGGGCTCCGGGGAAGGGGCGGGGCCGGAGACAAGGAGGGCCTTAGGGAGGACCTCAGGTGTGTGGCATTTGGGGGCGCCCTTCTGCGGTTCCCCCGCCGGTCCTCCGCTGGGGGGCGCAGTTGCTCCTTCAGAGGGAGCAAGGAGTGCCCTGGAGCTGGCAGTTGGAAGTCCCGACTTGGAGTTATGGCAGCGATCTTCAACCCCGTGTGCCGCAAGAATTTTTAAAACATGGAATACCTGTTCAGCCAGGGACACTGGCCTCTTTTCCCTTAGATTGCCAAATAACAACAACCAACACAACCGCAGCGCTCCAGGGTGAAGGCCCAGTCTTGAACCTTAAATGTATAGGTCATATAATAAATTCGCATCTTATTGGTCACCACGCATAAGATTGCGTCTGATTGGTTAATTCTTTGGTACCAGAAATCTTTATAGATAAGTATAGGCATTTGATTTATTTTTTTTTAAAGGCACTTTGGAGCAAAATGGGTAGGTAATTACGATTATAATTATTTGTTGTATATCAATCAAAATTATACCTATTTTTATCAGATGGCCATATTTTTATTTTTTTTTAATATATTTTATTGATTTTATACAGAGAGGGAGAGAGAGATACAGAGTTAGAAACATCGATGAGAGAGAGTCATCGATCAGCTGCCTCTTGCACACCCCCTACTGGGGATATGCCCGCAACCAAGGTACATGCCCTCGACCAGAATCGAACCCGGGACCCTTCAGTCCCCAAGCCGACGCTCTATCCACTGAGCCAAACCGGTCTCGGCAGATGGCCATATTTTTAGTGTGCCGCATAATTTTAGTAATTAGTTGATGTGTGCCATGAGCTGTAAAATGTTGAAAATTGCTATACTAACCTAGCCGATTTGGCTCAGTGGATAGGACTGCCGCCTGCGGACTAAAGGATCTCGGGTTCATTTCTGGTCAAGGACATATGCCTGAGTTGCAGGCTAGGTCCCCATTAGGGGGCGTGCAGGAGGTAGCTGATCAATATTCCCTCTCATCATTGATGTTTCTATCTCTCCCTCTCCCTTCTTCTCTGAAATCAATAAAAGTATTTCCTTAGAAAAGAAAGAAAATTGCTATACTATATAGTTATAGAAAATAGTCGTTTATCTTCTCTGTGTTCTAAGAAAGGGGAATGGCAGAGGGACTACCTTCCAAATCCCAGACATAAAAAGGATTCTGGGGCCTCCACCTGGCCCCTAAGCCTCCAGAGCCAGCTGGGCCTCCTCTGCACCCTCCTATTTGTCTTCAGCTGCTGTAGTCCTAACAGGAATCATGTGGTCACTATGGGAGATGGACCACGCACCATCCTGAAGGCAGAGGCCCCATTCATTCACTCTTCTGTGTACCTCCAGTTTCTATTCCAGCTTTGAGTTCAATAAATGATGGGACAGCACCTGCAAGGTATGCCTCTAAGGAAAATACTCTCCCTCTGTTTTGGAGAATGTTGTCTTACATATACTCTCCCAAAAAAGCAAATAGAACATGTAAAGAGAGTGTTGAACAAATAGAACATGTAAAGAGAGTGTTGAACAGTCAACAAAGTGGAGTCAGGGTGTGAGGACATTTTTTATTTATCTTGAAGTAGAGAGTATGGAAAACCTACTAGGAACAGTGATGACCAACCACCTTATGCTCATTCAGCTATGTATTATATCCAAGATTATGAACAAGACTTCAGCTTTTATACTTTTCAACGAGCCTTTGCATCTGTCACTTCGTTTATTCCCTCAATGACTCTGAAATTGGCAAGACAGGTATTGTTGATGAGGAAACAAGCCCAGAGAGCTAACCAAGTCACGAGCAGGCTAGCTGGCATGACTGGGTTTCCTGACTCTTCCAAATTAAAAACCTGCAGGTTAAAGAGACTGGCAATGCCTAGGTCTCAGTATTGTCCTAGAAAGTAACTGAAATCAATCTTTCCATGGTAGGTTTGGAGTCACAATTATACTTTTAAAACTTTTTCTGTCTTTTTAATCTGGAGGGGAAAAAACGACAAAAGAATCTTCAGGTAAATGATCGAAACCAATAAAAAAGGTTCAACAAGATTATTATTACAAGATCAACATACATCAATATTATTCTAATAAATCATCAATTATGATGTATATTTTTCAAAGCTAACATATCTAGAGCAAGAGAAAAAGTATATGGAGAACATTACAAAATGTTATTTAAAAGTATTTTAGCCTGACCGATGTGGCTCAGTGGTTTACATCTATCTATGAATCAAGAGGTCACAGTTTGATTCCCTTTCAGAGCACATGCCTCAGTTGCAGGCTCGAAACCCAGTGTGAGATGTGCAGGAGGCAGCCAATTGATGATTCTCTCATCATTGATTTTTCTATCTCTCCCTCTCCCTTCCTCTCTGAATCAATAAAAATGTATTTTAAAAATAAAAACATATTTTTAGAAAGTATTTTTTTAAAAGCCTAAGTAGATGAAGAGTTATACTATGCTTTTAGACTGAAAGAATTGTTATTATACAGGTATCAACTATTTCATGTTGATTTATAGATATATACAATTCTAATAAAAATTCCCAATGGGCGTGGCAGTGCAAGAACAAAATAGTAACCAAGATACTCTTTGGTTGTTGGGGGAAGGAGGGGGGCGTGATAAAACAAGAAGAACTTGTTTTATCAAATATCAAGATAGGTTTTGAAAGCTATAGTAATTAAAAAGTGTAGTGTCTCCAGAGCGTAACTTTAATGGACTTTTGGTGCATATCAGAGACTTCATGGGACATTTGATTTATGGTGTAGGTGTAACTTCAGGGGAGAAAGGACAGGCTTTTCAATTAACAGGCTGAGATCATCAGATAATCATATGGAAAGAAATGGAACTGGATCCTTTCTCATATCACGATCAAAAATCAATTCAAGACCTAAAAATGAGAGGCAACACCATGCAGCTTTTTAAAGAGAATAGTGAAGACTATCTTTTTCACTTTGGAGTAGCAAAGAATATCTGAAAAGGGAAAAAAATCATTAGCCATAAAAGAAAAGGATAAATTTGAACACATTAAGATAAAATTTCACTCGCAAAAGACACCACAAAAAGATATTTGCAACATACATAACCAGCATGCGCGCGCGGGTGCGCACACAACACACACACACACACACACACACACACACACACACATAGAAAGGAAAGAAAGAAAGAAAGAAAGAAAGAAAGAAAGAAAGAAAGAAAGAAAGAAAGAAAGAAAGAAAGAAAGAAAGAAAGAAAGAAAGAAAGAAAGAAAGAAAGAAAGAAAGAAAGAAACCGCCTACAAATCAATGCGATAAAGGAAACAACCCACTTTCACCTGGGACTGAGCCAGCATAGAGCTCGTATTCTGGGTGAACAGGAGTGCTGACAGTGCGGCAGGGAGGAGCCAGGTGTCAGCAGAATGAGTTTGATATGAACCCCCTTTTGCCTAAATATAAGCCTGAACAGGTACAATGTAACTGATTGGGGGATAACTGGGTTGATTTCCCAACAAACCATGACTGCATGACACACCTCTCTCTCTCTCTCTCTCTCTCTCTCTCTCTCTCACACACACACACACACACACACACACACACACACACCTGGCTTCCTCCCCAGCCTTGGCATAATCTCCTTTCGGGGTTGAAAGTGCTGACTCCATTATGCACCCAACAAACCAGCCTGTCCCGGGCTGCCTGAGCTTCTGAGCGAACTTGTTCGTCCCATTGTCCTTTATCCTTCTGAGATTGGGAGCCAGCCGCTGTCACTCTGGATGAGGCTTTGTGACGGTTTAATTAGCTCTTGGGAACCTCGGGGTTTGATTATTCTCAGCAATCAACGGGAGCAGTCGTGCGTTTCTGGGCCCTCCGAGCTCCCCCTGTTCACCGCCTGCCAGGCCTGGAACGTACCCACACACTCTCCGGCTGAGTGAAAACTCAGGGAGCAGGCGTGCATGCCTGCACGTGCACGGGTGTGTGTGTGTGTGCACGTATGCCCAAGAGAGAGCTGAAGGCCGGGGCACAGAAGGCCAGAGGCCTGGGGGTTGTCATTATCTCCAGAGCAGAACCTTCCAGCGCCCGAAAGGGACCCTGGGGCTCTGCCAGGCAGCCAGGCTCTGGTTCTGTGTAATGAAGCTCTCCCTGATCATCCTGGTGATGTCCCCGGAGACCCCGCACAGGGGGCCCATCTGCTGCCAACCCTGGGTTCTTGTTCACTCCCCGTGGAAATGAGGGTGTCCCTGCGGCTCCCCACCTCACTTCCCCAGCATAATGCTCACCCCCAAGGGGCCCTGCTCTTGGGACTAAACTGAGATGACAGTCGCGGTTTATTAATTGGACTAATGAGAGGCCTCCTGGCAGGCAGGGAGAGAGAAGCCGGAGGAGAAGGAAGCAGCTGAGACAGGAACATCCTGAGACACGGAAGCTCAAGACAGCTTCAGACTGGGACCAGCAGCTCGTTTTCTGAGAGGCTGCGGCCCGGGCAGGCAGGGGTGAGGGCGATGGTTTTATGAAACTTGTATTTTTTATCAGAAACATGCTAATATTTCATCAGCACATGGTAACAGCACATGATTCCTGCATGCCTGTGTCCTGGGCATTTCACCGTGACATGTACCTGTCTCAGGTAACATTCACAAGGGCCATGAGATGGGAATCCTGACGCTCATATTGCCCGTGAGAAAATTGAGGCCCCGAGAGGTGTGTCCGAAGTCA